AATTGATGCAAAGCTTGTGACCTCATCGCAAAGAGGCGATCATCCGGAGTAAAATATAACCATTTGCTGAGGAGGTGCTGGAGATCAGCAAGTCCCGCTTCTTGAAAAGGGCTCGAATTTCGACGTTTGCTGGATGTTGGATGGTTTGGGTTGATAGGTCTGAAGTATCGATTTTGTGGATTGTTGTGCATTCCGCTGCAAGCTCAGACTGGAATCACTGATATAATCATGTGTAATGTAGATAAATATATTTTCGAATATAAAAATTTCATCATGTAGGATAGGCTGATAACTAATATGCAAGTCAGTTTTAGGTTCTTTATTATGACTTTATTAATCACTGTCCCCTATACTACATTATATACTACTATCCAGCTTTCCGGGTCATGTTTGCTGACCTCATAGAAGTGTTGCTGTTACAGCCTGTGAAGGTGAAAGAATATGAAATTCATTTAAGACATCGAAACGAACGCTTAAAGTACGAGTTGGAGTTGTASATTAATAATTCATGAATTTGAGAGCACTATGTGATATAGCTACGATTATTCTCACCTTACTGCAAGCAGTAAACGTAGTTGATATCACTTTTACCAATACATTCTTGTGGATTGCTCTTGTCACACTGAGCAGTACTGTTAGTCAGTATTTGAACTGAGTCATGCGATCCGGCTTTGCCATATTTGTCAAACGTGAATGCTGCATTTGGACCACTCCAACATTCGCCGTAGTTCTGYAAGCCAAATACTTGCCAATGGTTTTGCTTTGCCAGTTCTGCACATCGACATGCCAAGCTAACAATAAATGGACAATATTTTGATTCAACCACATATTTGAGTATCTATTCTATTGCTTCTCTCAGTCCAGTCCTGGCCTCCTTTCGACCTGCTTAAGGACTCGAGAGAAAAGAATGTCCATGCATGCGCATGTCAGCTTTGTGACCTCGCGATTAACAAATAAATGTGGTTATCGCGAGATTACAACTCTCTGTACAATAGAAAGTAAGACTGATCGAATGTCATTTGCATTAGTGGCAAATGTTTCCATGGCACCTGGAAAAAAAGCCTATTATTTTTCCCCGTCATTATAAAAGTTTGAATCGTCTTATTGTCGGATACAAGTTGAGGTCAGGTTTAGACAACAAAATCTATCGTTCTCAACCCGCAAGTTCAAATCATCGGTTGTATTTCTGCGCGAAACGTGTAAGCGAAAATTTGAATAAATCTACTTTCGTGACATTTGGGGCTTAACAGAGACAGAAGCAGACAAATGAACAAAAAAAATAATGTGAACTTCAGCAATAAATTAAACAACACATTTTCGTGCGTTCGTTATGAAATAAACCACGCGGGATGTTGGGAGAGCACGCGGACAAAGGCGTATAAATACGAGCGCATATACTATGATAGCTATGATATAAAAGCAAATATTACGAATGTCGTAGGGGCTTGAAAATTTAAAGCGGTCGCTACGTGTGTGACTATTAATATGATTGGCTTGTTCTGAAAATGCAAGTTATACTGGACTCTTTCCCCGGGAGTCCTGTAGCCGGTCGAAAGGAGGAATGGACAGTTGCTTTTCTAGGTTTCTCGAATTGCATATGTACGCGCTATCTTCAGTAGATACAGTTCACCCCAAAAAATTTAAGGCAATAATTTGAGATGAAGAGCGGGTGCCGTGGAAACAGTTATAGTTACCGTACGGCATACCTTATGTTTTTCACTAATACGAAATAATCTCTGGATCATCTGAAGATTACTTTTAACATACTGTATATCAGTCATAATTTCTATATTAGTCCTAGCGTAGTTTTATGATTACAAGAGCATTCCAGTCAACAATACAGT